GTGGGTTTGTTAATTAAAAATAATTAATTCTGGCCATGTGCCCTGGACAATTAAACATGTTAAGGTATGGTTAGGTTTTCAGAAATTCCTGTCAAAGCAAATCATTATTTAGCCTGTGTAAACATTGGGCTAGTGCTAGTTTCTTCAAAATTTCAGGGTCTTATTCTTCGAAACATTTTAACTTAAGATGATTTTATTGTTATTGACAAACTGACCAGAATCAAGTTTCCAATCATAGAAAATTCCATACAAGGGTTGGAATCGTACAGGATGTCTAGAAAGAAAACATTGGTGTAGAAGTATAGAACATGAATTAAAGAGAAACCCTTTCTAATAACCTTGTAAAAAAGGTGAATGAACAAACAGCATGTTGTTGATTGAGATTTTTATGATGTTTGTTTAACGTGAAATCTGAGAGGGGAACCAATCAGTGATCCTAACAACCTGTTCAGATAAATCGCGATTCATTCAGATCCAGACCCTTTTTTACCCCCTTTAGATCACAATGAAGAGTTTTTGTAAAGAGATTCGGTGACAATATTAAATTTATTTTGACACTGTATTCCGACACCTATAGTCTGTTTTCTCATTCTACCACTAAACAACCAACAAAAAGGCTGAAAATAGGTCAGGCATTCGAAGATTGCATAGTGTGAAGTATGAGTAACAACATGGTTCAGGTTCTGGTTTGTTATTTCTATATCGCTCTACAATTGATGTATTAAGCATTATTTTAACAGTGGTATTTCTATATCTCTCTACAATTGATATATTGAGCACTATTTTAACAACAAAAAGGCTGAAAATAGGTCAGGCATTCGAAGATTGCATAGTGTGAAGTATGAGTAACAACATGGTTCAGGTTCTGGTTTGTTATTTCTATATCGCTCTACAATTGATGTATTAAGCATTATTTTAACAGTGGTATTTCTATATCTCTCTACAATTGATATCTTGAGCACTATTTTAACAGTGGTATTTCTATATCTCTCTACAATTGATGTATTGAGCACCATTTTAACAGTGGTATTTCTATATCTCTCTACAATTGATGTATTAAGCACTATTTTAACAGTGGTATTTCTATATCACTCTACAATTGATGTATTGAGTACTATTTTAACAGTGGTATTTCTATATCGCTCTACAATTGATGTATTGAGCACTATTTTAACAGTGGTATTTCTATATCTCTCTACAATTGATGTATTGAGCACTATTTTAACAGTGGTATTTCTATATCACTCTACAATTGATGTATTGAGCACTAGTTTAACAGTGGTATTTCTATATCACTCTACAATTGATATATTGAGCACTACTTTAACAGTGGTATTTCTATATCGCTCTACAATTGATGTATTGAGTACTACTTTAACAGTGGTATTTCTATATCACTCTACAATTGATGTATTGAGTACTATTTTAACAGTGGTATTTCTATATCACTCTACAATTGATATATTGAGCACTACTTTAACAGTGGTATTTCTATATCGCTCTACAATTGATGTATTGAGCACTAGTTTAACAGTGGTATTTCTATATCACTCTACAATTGATGTATTGAGTACTATTTTAACAGTGGTATTTCTATATCACTCTACAATTGATGTATTGAGCACTAGTTTAACAGTGGTATTTCTATATCGCTCTACAGTTGATGTATTGAGCACTATTTTAACAGTGGTATTTCTATATCACTCTACTATTGATGTATTGAACACTATTTTAACAGTGATATTTCTATATCACTCTACTATTGATGTATTGAGTACTATTTTAACAGTGAAAATATTCTATCAATGTAAACTAAAATAAGTCTGAATTGTAAAAATAGTAGATTTAAATGTCACCTATAACTTGAGAAGAAAGGATAATAGGTGTAAAATGAGACAAGTAAAAAATTTGAAATGTAAAAAGTTTGAAATGTAAAAAGTTTGAAATGTAAAAAGTTTGAAATGTAAAAAGTTTGAAATGTAAAAAGTTTGAAATGTAAAAAGTTTTGGCATGAATCCAACTATTGTCCATTGTTTAAAGCAAACAATTATAAAACTGTGAAATGTGAGTATAATTTATGTCAGGATATTTAGCCTCCAGTTGTAATTAAATAAAATAAAGAAATTAAAATATTTTCATTAAAGAGACAGATTGATCTTGTTCTTTACGTGTGTTTAAAGGGATTAGTCAGTGTAAGGATAAATAGTCTGTGATATCAGCTTTAGCTTGAAGCAGAGGTTAACTTGTCATCTACCAATCATTGCCTGTGCTTTCGTAAAATTTGCTTTACTGCAATTTCGCACTGTATAATTCCAACCATGAGGTTAATTTTAACTGTCACGTGCCTTCTCTGCATTCACACAATTTACCAGATGAACATTCATTATGGCATGGTGCAACCCCAGAGAGGATAGTTTTAATTAAGGTAAAAATGAAGTCTTATCAATGGTGGATATACATTAAAGGTACCTTTCTGCACCAGTTTGGGGTAACAAGGAATGCCAATGCCATGGAGTGTGCAATGTGGGAAACATAGGCTTAGACTTTAAGATTTCAAAAGAAAATCATAAGTTTTCAAATGGCCATATAAATATAAGCAGAAACAATTTTAAAGAGATTAGCTCACATAACAGTTTTAACTTGAAGCAGACGTTAACTTGCCATCTACCTACCAACCAACCAATAAGGTTTAATTTAACTGTTGTATGCCTACCATGAATTTGCCTGCCCATCATTCATGCATAGGAAACTTTTGATAGAAAATCAGCATGGCTATAAAGGAAATATTAGCAGAAACAACTCCTTTAAAGTAAATGACAATAAGAATTATTGATCTATCTATAGTGATTAGGAGTGATATATAGATATTAACTACTATAGTTATTACATCATTTAAAACAATTATTTACATTGTCACTGACAGACTATAGACCAGGGTTGTTGATTTAGCCAGACATGACTGGCAGGGCAGCTCAAATGTCCGAGAATCAATAGGTCTCCTGAGGTAAAGACTGAGAAATGAAATGGATTGAATTTTACGTCAAATTCTTCTGCACCTAATTGGTCTACGGGCAATGCCATGCAGAATGCAATAAGGGAAATTTTTCCTGAACAGATTGGACTGGGGAATTTAAGTTACATAGAATAGCAATAAGATTTTGATTCAATACTACATTAACATTTCCATTGGATCTTTAAACCACAGGACACCATTTTTACTCAGAAGTCTAAAAACAGATAAAAGGATGGCCATAACTGATTATACCATAATCTCGCAGTATGGTTCTCTGCAACTGAGTTCTTCAGCTAGGTATGCAGTAGACTACATAAAAAATGTTGTTTTTCTGTGATTTCAAAACTTATTTGCATATTTTTTATTTCATGTAAACAACATTTATTAGATCTTTAAAAAACAACAGGACATTTTGTTTGTTTTCTCTGATAAACGTAGAAATATCACAGTAGACCACTTTGCTTCTGATCTTTTCAACTTGATATGCCTTAATCCATGTAACCATTTCATAATTTGGACACTTCAAAACTTTTGTTTTTATATATGGAAAGCTTCTAAAGCAAATATCATAGCTTGCAATATTTTAGAACATTTGGGAGGTTGTTTTTTTTTTTTATACAGAAAGTTTTTATTAGATCTCTAAAACAATGGGACACCATTTTTATATCCAATGATAAAAGGGTTAAAACAAAAACAGATAAAAAGATGACCACAAAGTAGGGAGGTTAATCCTTTATTTATGAATAAATTGAATCCAGATTAAATAGAGATTAAAGGGTTAAGAAGATCTAAAGATTCAACTGAGAGTTTATTGACTCTTTACTTATCCTAGATTTATCTTTCATGTAGTCCGAAAACTTGCCAACTTTCTTCTCATTACTGAGAGATATTTTGAAGGTTATTGTCTTAAAGGCCCTGTAAACTAGGCTGTTTTTTTGAGACTTTCTTATTGTCTTAATGTGCAGGGCCCTGTTTGAAGTTTGCAGGAGTTATAATTTTCAGTTTAACTAAACAAGAGGAAAGGTGAAGGTTGGTTTCGAGACATGTTCAGAATTTTGTACTCAGAATGATTATCATTTACATTTTACCAAGTCTGTTCTTAGAACCAATGCCTGAATTGGAACGGTTCTCAGAACGCCTGCCTGTTTGTATTTAAAAAAATTCATCCTTTCTTTTTTGATAAATTATATTATTTTTGGTGATGCAAAAGAGGTGGAGATAGAGTCATTAAGTCTCAAACTGACCTCCGTCAATGACAACTATCAGCAAATAAGACCTACATTAAAAACTATCAGAGAGCAGAATGCATAATTTTTATTATGTTCAATGGAGCTGTCAGTTTCAGACAGATCTACGTATATCAGAGGTCAGGTATATAAAGTCACTATGTTTCAGACTATCCTCTATCAATCTATGATGTAGATCAGTCAGTGTATCTAAGTTAATAATAATAACTAGTCAATAGAAACATTATACAGCTCCCTACTGAGTAATCTTATTAAAGGAGTCAACCCTGTTAAGGGATTTTAGCCAGTTCACTTGTTTTTGCATAGATATAACTTTCTTATAAGTAATTCAGAAGAATTTTAATTTTTCAGGTGAATTGTCTAATACAGTTGTAAAATGATTTGATCAGACAATTTAAATCTAAACTTCAAGATAACTGCCTAAACAATTTATTCATTAAGAACATCCTCTCTCATGTTAAATCGAAGAAGAATTTGTCAAGCTTCATTTAGACAGGTCTGGTAAAAAGCAGACCTTAGCCCTTTTATTAATTTAGTCAGACAAGGCTGGTAAACCGTTAAATCAGAATATCTGACCAAACAACCTAGAAAATTGTCAAGCTGAATCAGACACCCTGATCTAAAGTTGTTATTAAGCCTTTCTACAACTTGAAATCATTGATACAGTAGAACATTGAAGAAGTAAATACAAGATGTATGGGTCGAGACTCAGTGCCTACATGATTAGCTTCTTCTAATCAATGGTTAATCCAACACCATACATCAATTCATTCCCATCTTCACACTATCAATTCATTCCCATCTTCACACACTATCAATTCATTCCCATCTTCACACTATCAATTCATTCCCATCTTCACACTATCAATTCATTCCCATCTTCACACTATCAATTCATTCCCGTCTTCACACTTTCAATTCATTCCCATCTTCACACTATCAATTCATTCCCATCTTCACACTATCAATTCATTCCCGTCTTCACACTTTCAATTCATTCCCATCTTCACACTATCAATTCATTCCCATCTTCACACTATCAATTCATTCCCATCTTCACACTATCAATTCATTCCCATCTTCACACACTATCAATTCATTCCCATCTTCACACTATCAATTCATTCCCATCTTCACACTTTCAATTCATTCCCATCTTCACACTATCAATTCATTCCCATCTTCACACTATCAATTCATTCCCGTCTTCACACTTTCAATTCATTCCCATCTTCACACTATCAATTCAAATATCAACATGGCAAATTGATCCCACATACATATAGACAGCAAAATGATCAGACGGCAAATTGATCCGACGGCAAATTGATCAGACGGCAAATTGATCCGACGGCAAATTGATCAGACGGCAAAATCAGACATATTTTAAATGATAAAGATGTTTGAATATATAAATATATAAACAAAGGATAGACTAAATTATTCGAATAATAAATAACACGAACCACTAAACCTCGTGATTTGATTATGGTAATATCTATAAATATTGAACTGTGAACAAAATACTGCATCCATTAGAATATATAATACATTAGTTACATACCAAATAGTTTTAGTATCATAAAATAACTAATATATATTCATTGAAACATAGTTCAATATGAACTGGAAACAACAACTCAGTCGATCAGAGTAGCTTCTGCTACTTTCTATTCTATCAAGAATATAGAACGGAGCGCTGCACCAGACACAGTACCTCTTCTATTTGATACTTTTCATAATGTTGAGGTTCTGCAGAAAGGTTGCTCAAAGTTTCCAACTGTCAGTGTAGTCAGAGAAACTGATTTGGAAAATGCATTTAGTTGTTCAGATGTGACAATAACAATAAATGTATATGATGCAAAACTAAACCTGTGAATTCTGAGAAATACTATTATTAGTCTATAGCGTACATCTTTGCAATTCAAAATAATGTTTGTGTCGTTTCTATATCATGATGAGTTTAAAAAGAATCAGAAGTACCCAATCAACGGAAACTTTCAGTAACATTAGCTGTGAATCAGTGTTGAAGAAGCTGTGACTCTGCTGGAGGTCACAATTTAATGTTCTATCAGCGTAAATGACCAGCGTAGAAACAGAAGTCTGGCTCAGTCAGTGTTATTGTCCAAGAGACGTCAACTCAAGTATAAAACACAATATTAAAGGGACAGATTAGCCATTTACGGGGTTGATTTGGGTCTGGAATATATATGAATAATAAAATTCCAAGGCAGATAATTCTGTTAATAAAAATTTACTCCAAAGTATGGCAAAATCCAAAGAACAAGTTGTATAGTAGTGGACAACAATAAACAGTCTGCAGAACTACTAAAACTGCTCCAAAATTTCATAATTGATGGTGAGCTATGAATACTGTGATTAATTATTAGATAAGCTAGAAAAATAGTTTCTGACTAAGGTATGATTGGTCAAACTGATGGTGAACCTGTCCCTTTAAAAAACATGAGATATTTTTCACTGTCAACAATTTTGTTTGTCCGAAATAATGTTATCATTTACTGTATAATAGGATTAAGGAGACAAACTGTTAAAATATGACCTGGCTGGAAATCCTTACATGGGTCGTAATATCTGTGTGGGGTATGTGGCGGACGTAGGGTTAATGGTTCATTATTTTGTTATGATAGCCAATAAGCAGGTGGGATCTGGAGGGTTAAAAAGAAATTAAGAGTTTAGGGATTAGAGGTTTTAGGTAATATGACCCTAACAGTGGACCCCATATATACCCTTACCCCTATTTCCTGCCCTCATATAATGGTGTAAGAGAAATTAGGGTTTAGGGATTATAAGTTTTGGGTAATATGACCCTAACAGTAGATCTTATTTACTCCAAACACTGACCACAAAGACTAGTGTAGACTACTGGCTTGGGTAATCAAAATACTTCAATAATATACCTAAACCCCTTTTCCTGACCACAAGGACTGTTGTAGACCACAGGGCTGGCGGTCATCTTTTAATAATTTGATCCCCTTAGCTCAACACTTCAAAGGACACCAGCCGTGAAATGGGATATGATTTTCTTGAGACATAAAAAACACTGATTCAATTTTATCATAATATTATCATCTGTTCGATTTTTCATATTTTTGGGAGAAAAAGATAATCTTGCTAGAACTGAACACGTTCTTGTTTATATCGTGTAAGAACATGCTTAGTTCATGAACTTGCGTCTATCATAATTAACAATCTGGTAGCGTTGGCCTATAAAACCTTTTCAGAACCTGTTGCAGATGACCATTGATCAGATTGTGACTGGATGGGGTAACCAAACTGTCCTTGGTTACTGTGATTAAGCCTAGATAATCCCTACTTAGAATGACAACATTAAGTAGCGTGTCATAACTGAACATGATAACTACCATACGAAGTAGCATACACCAAATGATCACTATAGTATTACAGAATGTTCAAGTGTGTTAGAGGAAGGCAATTGTCCATTTATCATTTTCAATTAGATGAAACTAAATTTTTCCTATGAAAAACAACAATGGCTACATTTAAAAAAAAAATTCCATACTTAGCGATAGTGACACTGTATATGTTTAAATATTTTTATAATAAAAATAACCACAGAAATCTGACTGAAATTTGGAATGAGATAAAAAAAATAATGGACCTTTTGAAAACCTCTTTATTATCCCTTCAAAATCTTGCTAGAGGATAATCGTTGGCCTGCATGCATTACCACAGCTTCCAGTCTCAATATATAAACAAACCAGTATATACAAGTGTTTATATGATAAAATAACTAATTAATTCCTATATTAACCTTGATTTACTCAATGATATAAATATCAGATGAGAGGTCCATATTATCAGTTATAGATAGTATACTCTACACCTCACAGTTATATTATTTAGTTTATAGCTTACTGATATCTCCAAGTATCTCCTTACCTGACTCTTCATCATTTAAACAGGGTACTTAGAGTCCTCAAGGGATATGATACTCTAATTTTACATTTACACATGTATACAGAGCATCAAAAAAACAACTTCACTCATAATTCAAGTCTTGGTTGCCTCAAACAACGGCTGTTCTGATCTTCGTTAGTATATGAAAGTCTTGTGACCTTGAATAAGTCATCTTTCCTCATAATTCCAGTCGACCCAGCTGTAAATGGGTACCAATAATCTAAGAGAGATTAAAAGGTCTGGTCAAGGACCATCAGTAAGAAAGGTCCTTATGATCCAAAGTTGTTATCTTACTAAAATCAATGCTAAGAGGTTTGGCCAATGACCAGCTGGTAGACAGGATCCTTGTGAACCTTGTAAAATATAGTCGTTTCTGTCTTTTGAACTTCAAAGCTTCTGACAAGGGATATTGGCAGCTAAAATCAGATTCTCTCAACTCTTAATGTAAGTTAGGAGTTATCACTTGAACCCTGTTATCTAAAAGTCAGTTTAAGTCAGTATAATGGGCAGAGATTCTCTGTTAACAAATCACCAACGCTCTCCAACCCCAACCATCTTAAATCATTAAACGTTTGTGTTGTGACTCTGATAAGCCAGCTTCTAAATAGATGACGGCTAACAAATTTGAACATATCTTAGCATGCGCTAATAAAAACCTTATCTAGAATTTGGACTGCCTTTCTAGCCTGCCAATTAAGTCGTTTAAACAATTTGCTAGATAAGGTTCCCTACACTTACTGATTACTTAGTTGTGAAATAGTCTAATACTTTTACAGTTATGGCCTCCAATTTGTCTACATTCTGTCCATCAAGCAGGGGGATAAACTATGGTGCTGGTGTCAGCTCATCCATTATTTGTGTTTGGTGTTTTATTTTGTATTATTGTACATGTAGTTTTTGCTAACATGAGCTCTGTATTCAGGGTCTTATTCTTGAAAACTTAACTTAGATAAATTGATTTAAAAAAAATACAGTAATCTGATTGGTTAATATAAACTAAATTCAAAATTAATTTTATTGATTGACCAATCAGATTACTGGAGCACTAATTCACCATAGTTAAGTTATCAAGAATAAGACCCAAGGTTGCTACTATGAGCTTTTAAGATTTATCTTCTGAATAAGCTGCTCTGTTTTAATACCTTGTATATGATCTATCTTGTGATTAACCACTTTGTTTATAGATTAAATAGTTTTAAAACAAGCATGTCAACTCAATGTCAATAGATAAAGGTTAACTTTATTGTCAATGTATTTTAGATGCAGAATTGAAGAAGATTAGTCTCATATTTCCCTCTCAATAAAAAACCACTTGATCAAAGTGCAATATTGGGAATATTAGAACAATGGCTTTATATTTAAGTTCACATCATTCTGCTACTTGTGCTTTGCTAATTATAACCTTCGTGAGGTTCTATAGCTCAGTCCGTTAGAGCATTGCTTCTTTACATGACGAGTGAATGGCGGCTGTGGGTTCAATTCTCGATCGGCGTGTGAAAGTCCGATGACCTTGAATAAGTCATCTTCACTTATTTTTCATTTCACTTCATTTACATTCTAAATGGGTATGGATAATCCGGCAAAGATCAATACCAAGAGGTTTGGACAAAGAGCAGCTGGTAGAAAGGATCCCTACCTGTGAACCAAAGTTGTTATCCTTGTAAAATATAGTTGTTTCTTTCTTTTTTTGAAAATAGGTGGCATGTATCACTGGCATGACTGGGAAAGTTCACTCTTTTAGGACACCCGATTACAAATACAACAGGCCACAACTGGCATTATGAAGAAACATGACTTGTTCAAGATTACCAGACAAGTTGACCAAGATTAAACCCACAAACACTCATATAAAACCTTTAATGTACCCAATAATGCATGCCTTTCGAGCTTGCTTTGAGCATTTCTTTCGAGCTTTCTTTTCGAGCTTTCTTTTCGAGCTTTCTTTCAGCATGTCTTTCCATCTACCAAGTACAACCTTCCACAGTCATACTATCTGCCTTGGTGATGTGTTCAGTCCATTTCTAGTTTTATAAGGAACAGACCACTATAGCAACATGCCTTGGTCTGGTTTGTTTACCTATAGCTTACTGTAGGATCACCTGAATATCATATAGAATGATAAATAAGATACAGGTGTATAAATAAATATATATTATAATATATACTGACATCATAAATCATATCATTACCCCACGCTTAGATTATAGATCACTGCTTACAGTACAATCATTACCCCACGCTCTTAGATTATAGATCACTGCTTACAGTACAATCATTACCCCACGCTCTTAGATTATAGATCACTGCTTACAGTACAATCATTACCCCACGCTCTTAGATTATAGAT